GTTGTGGGTGGTTGAATGTGTGCAGTTTGTCAATAACTGCTCAGTTCCTAAGCACTGAACATTATCCAGGTGGATACTACCATTACCCTGACCAAAGTAGGCATTTGATAGAGCAGTTTCATCGGTGATAATATATTGTAAATAACTATCACAATGAATCAACTCACTTGTTCCCCAGCCTAGTTGGCTACACACTACTGCTGCATCAGTGGAATCCCAGTTATTATCACAGACAGTGCCCCATGATTCATTAACACACACTTCCACTCTTCCTTCCCAATCATGTGGACCATTGACAAGATTGATTGATCCAGTTTTACATGCTATAAAGAATTGGAAATATACAATGCATACTGGTATTTGTAACATCATTGCTATTCAAGTTTCAAGTACTATTAATTTTTGAGAAATGCATTATTCTATAATAGTGAGTACTATATTTGCTCAAATGCCTAGCTCAAATAAACAACCATCTCTGTAATATCATCTAATCATAGATATGCAAATTTTTTCAGTACAGGTGCCCTAGATTTTGCTGGCATTTTTAAAGCAATTTTTGCCTGCAGTGAAAAATAAATGCTAATCAAGCAAACCTAGTACTAAATTTATATCAAAAAGAAATCAAAGAATTGAATATTACAAATGACACAATTACCAAAGGAGAAAAGGATGTAAAGAAAAGGTAAGTAGGGAACATGCGACATAAAAAATATTTACTTAAAAGGCAGAGTGTGAGTGAGAGGGATAGAGTAATTATGATTACCTTAATTACACTGACAATACAATTAGAATACTGAAATGCAGTAAATACAGATGACATAATATGAGGTACATGCATGTAAGGAAGATAGAGACATGTAAGCAAGTTTATTAATGTTGATGTAAAGCCATGCAGCAAATCTCATTAAAAGAGTAAGTAAGGAGATAAATTACTAACAACATTGTATTTACGAATAGGGGTTGAGCAATTAATTCCTTGATAGCCAGTATCAGTACAATTACAGGTGTAATTAAAAGGAGCTGAAACAAGTGTACAACTACCTCCATTCTGACAAGGACTCAGTTCACATATATAACCTATAGCAGGCAAAAATTAACTTTGAGGTTAACAATGGTGCAATTAATATGGAGTTCATATATGCACATGTATGAATGTCACAAAATATAAGACTAAATGAATGATACTCAAAACTTGTAAGCTACACTGTTTCGCTGAAAATTAAATCCATTCATTCAATTTAACAAAGTAATAATAATTACATAACCTACACCAGCAAAATAACATTATAAAACGTAAGCCCCAAACCATGCAAATGTCATTAAAAATTAATGCTACTGAGTGCATGCATAATTAGCTTCACAGTAGAAAACACACTGCAAAAAATTGGGTATAAGGCTAAAGCACACAAAACCGGCAAGATTTTAAAAATTGAAACAGCATTGCATTAACTTAAAATCATACCTTCAGAAGGTTTTAGGTCTATGCTTCCAGAATAAAAATATGTTTGATAATAACCATAAACCATTGCCAATATCTTGTCGTCACTGTTATTAGACCAAATAGTAACCTCACCATAGTTAAATAAACTATAACTGTTAAACACATAACAACCATTAACAAAAGTACTGTAATATTCCCATGAACTGGACGTGAGGGATGGAAGAGGCATGCTATTCAGTCGTATCTGTGACGAATCATCAGCAGCAAGTACCACAAGATTAACAAAAGAATCACCAAGCATAATTATGTTTGGAATACTAGTTACGTTAGAAGCATATTGATGCAGTGGAGGAATGATTGTCATATCACGTTCAGCTACTGAGAACCAAGCCACAAGTATTGGACTAGTTGAACTAACATAACAACTAGTTTGAGATAATATAGTTTGACTCAGTACACCACCTTCTTGAAGGGATAGTGAATAAGTGCTGTTACCTTCATCACACAATATATTGACATTGGTATTAGCCTGTGATCCAATTAGTTTCAATTTATAACTAGATTGACGATTATATGATTGAACCAGGAACTCATTACCCCATGAGGCTACTGGTGGTATTTGCTCACCAGCAAAGTTACAAGCAGATTGACCAACAACACAAGAGTGACCAGAATAGACAGATATTGGACTATTAGATTTAAGTTTTGTTCCTGTTAAATCAGCTTTTTCTACAGCTGGTTTGAGTAAAAATGTCTCCAGGTATTGTAATTGTATTGTTATTGATTGTCCAGCTTCAAGACTGATCTGCATTTGATCATTAGTTGAAATCAGACATTGAGCGACACTAGATGGTATAGTAACAGTCACTGTTGGTGTGATTCTTATATTGGTATTATTATTACTAGAGACTATTAGGAGAGATGAGAATGAGGTTGATTCATCTGTACCAATAGACACAGCATAATACACATAACTATTGACTGGGTAAAACAAGACTGGATAGTTGATATAAACTGCTGCAGAATGAAAAGGATCAGTAATTGCTACAGTTACTGATATTTTCTTATCTGTTCCAGTTGTTACTAGTAGACCTTTATATCTCTCTAATTCACTATTGACAGCATAAGACAATAATATACTGTCCCAGATAGTTGTTGATGTACCAGCAGTAACTGAACCATTAGCTATTGTTTGGGTGAGATTACTGACTGTAAAGTTCACTGCTTCTGTTTCTGGTGTAGTGATGACAAGGTCAATGATTCCAAATTTCACTGTCACTGGTAGTGGTAATATACCAATGACATGTTTACTGGCAGCTGTACTCCAATCATCTATGAGAAAATGAAAAAAGGAAAGAAAAGAAAGGAAAGAGTGAGAATATATGTAATTAACAGGATATGAAATTGAGGGCTCGTTTACGTGACAATGCTGGCCTAATCCAGTGGTTGAAAATCTGGGGGGCTAGAGCCCCCCAATTTTGATGAAGGGGGGGGGGAAAGAGCCCCCCACTTTTGCTGCAGCTTATGCTTGCATGCAGAAGAGCAGAGCCTCTCTAAATTTTGATGCAAGGTAGCAGCAGGGGCACTGCCCTCACTTTTAATTATGTTATTAGAAAATGCTATTAATTTAGCTAGCTTATAAGTGTTATAGCAGTGTCTCAACTCATTGCTTACTATTACATGTACATATACATAAGCATAACTGATGAACGCACCATATTTTTGGATTATTTTTAAAATAATTGAATTAATGAAAATGAGCCCCCCACTTTTAGATTGGTATATGTCTCAACCCCTGTAATCTGCATTGTTTTGCTATTACATTTTTCAGCCATTTTACTAAAGTGTTATGCAGCAGCTATGTTTTGCCATTTTCACTAGAATTTATCATTTGTTTGTAGAAGTATCTGCTTTGGTATTCATTTTTTGTTCAGATTTGATATGTGGTTTTTGTGTTTTAGTGTAAATTTGACCCTAATTCAGCTAAAAATACCTCCATTTTACTTGAAAACATAGTCGTCGTGTAAATGTGGCCTGAGAAAAAATATTTTGGTGCATGCATGCAAGTACATGTTGACCAGTTAAATAAAAAAAATTAATGTTGCTGTACTGTACACATTGCAACATGTACAGTATCTTGACTTGAGCTATAGAATTAAACCAGCAAATTCAAAAAAGAGTGAATGAGAGGAGTAGAAGATACAAAAGAGGGAAACATCACTTACAAATACGTGTCGAACAGTTTAGTCCTTGATAGCCAGTACCAGTACAATCACAGCTGTAATTAGAAGGAGCTGAAACAAGTGTACAACTACCTCCATTCTGACAAGGACTCAGTTCACATATATTTGATAGTGAACAAGTACAGGTAGTAGTGTTTCGAGTATAACCAGCTTCACAGCTATTGCTACAAACTATAGTGGGAGAACAATAATGGTACAGCACCACTCTTTAATTGATGATTTTGTAATAAAAAAATTATATTTGACAATTTTTGTCCACAGTCATATGCATTACAATTAATGTATGGCTTTGCACTTACTACTACAAATAAAGTCAGTAGAAGTAGGTGTATAAAAGTTAGTGGGACATTGTGTGGTACACTGATCAGTTGGAGAGAAATAAGAACAGCAATTGGTCTGTGACCCAACACATCTTTTGAGACCAGTATTGCAACTACTGCCACAGGCTACAGAGAAAGGAATATATAAGAGGAAAGGAAATGTACACACACAAAGATATAAACAAAAAGACTGTGTGCCAAGAAATAGTGTGGCATTCTGAATGCATGAACAGTATGTGCAATGGTTATACAATATCAACCTGAAATACTGTTCAAAATTAGCTAACAATTTAAAAAATTAAAAGAATCTCTTATCCACAATACATTGTTTCAATTTCTAAGGCTTTCAATGTGAATTTGGGGTTTTGGCTTAAATTTTAGGTAAGAAGCCCAAAAATGTTCTCTTCTCTATAGTTATAGTCTATAATAATTAGTGGAACACTTAATCAAAAATTGAATCAATTTAAAATATTTGTTCCATGGCCTATGGGTGTTGCTCTGTAGAGATGAGCAATCTGCTTAAGTGCATTAAGGTGCCACAACAAAATTAGAAAACTTACCATGACACCTATCACTACCAAAGGTATGATTGCAGAGCAGACAGTCAGTGCGAGTGGGTATATCAATGAGCCCAGACACTGGTACAGGAATTCCTCCATCAAGATCAGCTTCCCATGATCCAGAGCTACACATTAACTGGAATATGCCTGTTGTCTGAGACTGTCCAGGATTAGGAGTGTAGGTAGCAATGATGGAGAGTGATCTGTAGGTACCTCTTCTGCTGCCTTGAGCTTGACATACATAATGCACAGAACCAATGATTGTAGGAGAATATTCCACACTTCCGGCATCATTGTGAGTAAGGAATTCTGTGATAAAATGAGTTATATTTGACTGGGAAGGCAGAGAGCAGTCTGACTGAGCTGAAACAGGAAAAGTGAGAAGATGGAGAAGGACCAAAAAAGCAAACAAAACAAAAATCATAGACATCGCTCCTTGCATACTGTGTATGCTGTACTAGTAGCTTTTTTGCTGGTGTTTATCTTGGCAGTGCTGCCCTTTAAATCAGAACAGGATGATTCTTATGAATTACTCAATATGACTGAAATTACTACTCTAGTATAGTATACTATGCATGTAGAAAATGAACTCAGTTTGATCTAAAATATGACATGATATCATTACTACTGTTTGGTAATTGGTATTTAATTAAACTAATTAAACTGTTTGCTTGAACAAATACAAATTCTTAGTAAAGGCTGATTCACTTGAAACTTAACGGAAAACAGGAAGTGCAATACAAACCAATTATCAGAGTTAAATTACATGTAGAGGTAATTTCTAAACTTATTTTAATAATTAAGTTAACTCTGGCCATTGGTTCATACAGCACTTCTTGTCTTAACTTAATGCCTTACCTTAGATTAAGTTTTAAGTGTGAATCAGCCTTAACTGTATAATAATGATTCTTGTGAATTACTCAATACGACTGAAATTACTACTCTAGTATAGTATACTATGCATGTAGGAAATGAACTCAGTTTGATCTAACATATGACATGATATCAATACTACTGTTTGGTAATTGGTATTTAATTAAACTAATTAACTGCTTGCTTGAACAAATACAAATTCTTAGTAAAGGCTGATTCACTTGAAACTTAACGGAAGACAGGAAGTGCAATACAAACCAATTTTCAGAGTTAAATTACATGTAGAGGTAATTTCTATACTTATTTTAATAATTAAGTTAACTCTGGCCATTGGTTCATACAGCACTTCTTGTCTTAACTTAATGCCTTACCTTAGATTAAGTTTTAAGTGTGAATCAGCCTTAACTGTATAATACATTTACTAATACATGTAAGTTGACACACACATTAATATGTGCTGAGCACTAGTTGTAATGCATTTAGATTTAATGGGCCACAAATCAGTAAGCAGAGTCGTCACTTAACACAGTTTCCAAATCAACACAGTAATATTAAAAACAAGGCAAGAGAATTTAACATCATAGTATACCTCATACAATAAGAATTAAAACAAATGAATAAATCTAAGTCTAATTTCACATGCATTTTATCAATATCTATATGTATGCACAAGTACATGCACATACATGTACAGAAGGTAAGAAGATGCAAAAATATACAAAGCCAGGACAGATAAATTAAGAACTAGGATATTGGACTGTCAAGTGAGAGAGCTATTAGATGGGACAAAACTTGTTGTAGGGGGAAAATATCCCAATGCCAAAGAACATTAAGAGAATATATGTACATACATGTAAATATTTAAACCCATTCCTGGTCTAGTGAAGACTGTATAATCAGCGCAGCATTATCTTAGCACAAAATAACATAGGAGAGGCACATACATGCAAAATAAACTGCAATACCTGCCTCTCTTTCAAAAAAATCTTGCCTACACCACTGAAAGGGGTGGTCTAAAGGGCACAAAATTGGCAAATATATACTTAGGTAGCCACATAACTCAAAAATTGTTATAATGTACTTTCTACATACGTGTAGCATACGAGCATCAATATGTATTGCAAACCTGATTGCACAACAAGTAATACAAGTACATGTACTTTCTGTGCTTACCAAATCTGTCTGAGAATGAGTGAATCTAGTTCCAGTTGAATCATTTGATCACCTTGATCTGTCTCTGTTACAAGTGTGACTACTGCTGGGTGACTACTATTATAATAAGATAAGAAATAGTAATTTGTAATAATAAAAATAAAATAATAGTTTTTGATCAGACCTGCATGGGGTCATACAATTACAAAATCTCAATTACAATTACACAATCAATTACATTCCTTTTGTAAAAAATAGACCCAATTAGAATTCCAATTATGCCTTGTTGAAGTAGTTTCAATGACAAATACTATTTTGACTAGAACAAAAAAATTAAAAAAATTATTTAGTGTAGGGTTGAGCCTCTGTTGGATTTGAACCTATGAAATGAATTCAAACAAGCCCCTGTAGGGTTGTATCACCATTGAAACACCAACATGTCAACCCTACACTGCAGGTATATTTGTCCAATCATCGTCATTACTCTAGGCAATAGGCATGCACAAAATTTACTATAATGCTCATTCAAACATTTAATTGCCACACTATATAGCATTGATAGCAATACTCATCAG